GCAGAAGAATAAGGACTATTTGATTAAAACACTGAATATAGGGGCGCCCGGGTGGCTTAGTCGGTTAAGCGTCCGACTTTCGCTCAGGTCATGATCTCGCGGTTCGTGGGTTCAAGCCCCGCGTCGGGCTCTGTGCTGACTGCCAGCTCAGAGCCTGGAGCCTGTTTCAGAGTCTGTGACTCCCTCTCTCTCTGACCCTTCCCTGCTCACGCTGTCTCTCTCTCTCTCTCTCTCTCTCTCTCAGAAATAAATAAAACATTAAAAAAAATTAAAAAAAAAAAAAAGAAAAAAACACTGAATATACCAAAGTCCATGGGTCCACAGTGGTCTAAAGAGAAAAAGCAGAAAGAAAGCAATTCACAACAACCTAACCCTGTACGCAGGAAAAAGAACATTCTGATCGCTTATCAGGACCTAAGTTAATTACTATGATTTAAGATATAGAACTAATTAATATATAAACATATGGACATGTAGAGTCACATGCCTGTGACTACAGAGATGATTTATAGATAAACATGAGGCCATATACAGACACATCCAAAAATTACAGTCTATAAGAATATAACTATAAGCAGACTGAACTTACTGTAAATAAATACAATCCAAGTTTTTAAACAAAGTCATTCTGCCCTTTTTTAAAAGACATCACTGTAATCTAAAAACATCTAAAATGGTGTAAAAAATGCTTTCCTGGTCTCTTCATTTACAATCTCAACACTTGGATAAAATAACATCTACACCGAATGTATCCTTCTCCCTCCACCATCTCCACCCAAAAAGCTCATCACATTTAACATTCTGGAGACTCCAGACTGACTCCCCTTGTTCCAAATGACTTCATCCACCACCTCCCACAGCCTGGACTACAGATCCTGTGCTGGCAGATCCCATCAGTCCACCTTCCATGCTGCTTAATGCCTTCCAATGGCTTTTCCCACCTACAGGGTAAACACCCAGCTGCCTGGATGTGGTATGCAGAATTACGTCAAATCTGACCCCAAATTCTTGCTACACAGAATGGCTGTGCCAAATTACAGGTGGTGTCAGCAGTGGTAACGTCATTATCACCAGCACTGGTGCCCACAAGGCACCTACCACTGGGCCTTAAGACGTTTACACTTGATGAGGTAGGTGTTCTCATCCCGTCTAACAGATAAACACACGCATAGGAGTAAACGCACTCTTTGGTTGAGACTCAAATCCAGGACGGTCTCAAACACCCTCTGCCTGCCTCTGCTGCGCTGTCCATCTCTGCTCTCCTGCGCTATATGCTTGATTCTGCTGGGGCATCGCCTGCTCCCCAGGGGCCCTCAGCATCGCATGCCCTCACCGCGTGCAGGCAGATCTTCCCCACAAGACTAGTAAGGTCTACAAGGGCACACATCTTTATGTACATGTCCATACGTGACTCGTCTTATTAAGAACTTGTGGCAACCTTAATGACTAGTAAAGATTTAATTTAAAAAGTACACTGAATACTGGAGCACAGCTAATCAACAATGACTTGCAGCAGCTTGCATTTCAGAACTGCAACGGGAACCCTACAAATTCAGTTCATGCTCAAGACGGCCTGGCGTGACAACTCAGAAATGTCAAGTTCAAAAGGCAAGGGATGGGGGATGGGCGGTGGGAATCAGCTGTGTGGCTTCAGACCAGTACCGTGTGGGGCTGGATTTCCACCCAGACACCGCAGACTTGAAGGCCATGCTATCTCTATGGCCAACTCCAGAGCCCACAGCCTTTTCACAACACCATGGTCTGCCAAACTGAACAAAATATTTGGGCAAAATAGTTGATTCCCTCTTCCAAGTTGTTCTCATTCAACGAATAGGGAAAGAAAACATTTAAGCACCAATAAATATAAGTATTTATATAGATATGTATTAACTGCTGTTTCTCAGCAAATTAAGATCCTGCAAACAGCCAAACCAAAAGAAATAACGGATTATTTTTAATCTCTAAGTAATCCATATGATTAATTCTTCAGATACAGCATCCCTACCACGTATGTTTAATGTACCAAGAAAAAATCGTCAACAATTAAGAAGTACGGTGAGTGAAGCTGAAACTGTATGGGCAATCAGGTAAACCACCAGGAAGTGAAAACACGATAATCAAATTTCTCCGCTTAAAACTTCAAATTAATAATTCTCATATCTTTTGACTAAGGGCCCAATTTGAGATACTGTCCAGAGGATGCACAGGCGCGCACACACACCCCATTAACCTCCCAGTTCACGATTAAGGAACGGGTACCATTGTCTAAGACGCTCTTTATGGACAGCAACGACCAACATTTCATCACCTAGATTTCATGGGTGTTAAATGTTTTGCCGCCAACCATGGGAACAGTACTGCAGTATTTCAGAAAGCCCTTAATTTGATGAAGTGAACTGTGACCCTAATGGAGGGCAAAACAGCACTGTTTCCCAAACATGGTTGATCAAAGAACTCTGTTTCTCCTTTAGCATCTCTTAGATCTAGGGTCACAGATACTACCTTAACCAACACTGCTTCAGATATTCCAAAACTAAGTAAATACCATATTTTGAATTGGTAACTAAAGGTACTGTCGCTGTCAGAAGCAGTAGTGGCAGAATTTCCGGGATTTACCCAAAGCTTTTTTTTTTTTTTTTTTAATGTTTTATTTATTTCTAGGAATGAGAGAGAGACAGCGTGAGCAGGGAGGGTCAGAGAGAGAGGGAGTCACAGACTCTGAAATAAGCTCCAGGCTCTGAGCTGTCAGCACAGAGCCCGACGCGGGGCTCGAACCCACGAACCGCGGGATCATGACCTAAGCGAAAGTCGGACGCTTAACCGACTAAGCCACCCAGGGGCCCCTACCCAAAGCTTTTAAGTAAAATCTAAGTTGGGGTGCCTGGGTGGCTCAGTCGGTTAAGCATACCACTTCGACTCAGGTCATGATCCCGTGGTTTGTGAGTTCAAGCCCCGCGACAGGCTCTTGTGCTGACAGCTCAGAGCCTGAAGCCTGTTTCAGATTCTGTTGTCTCCCCCTCCGTCTGGCCCTCCCCTGCTCATGCTCTCTCAATAATAAATAAACATTAAAAAAAAAAAACTTTTAAAAAATCTAAGTTAAATAATTAAGAGAAGACTACAGGCCTTTTCTGCCTTATACGTTTCACAGCATCTTAACAGTAACCATTTCACTACCCAAGATCAAAAGTAAAAAAAATCCTTTTATCTCACAAGAAACAAATAACTACTATCTATAATTTTGACATAAACAAATGTTACGACCTTTACACGTTTTATCAAGTCTAATAACGAACATTCTCTGTAAACTCCTGGCTCTTCCAATTTCGGGGTGTTTGCCCATCCATCAAGGATAGGGGAAGGCGCTGAGGGGAAGGTCCTGTTTCCTGTGACCCCGCGTGAAATGTCACCACCTCTGTAAGGATGCTCACACCTGAGAGCGTTCTCAAACTCAACCGGCACCGGGATACACCGCCAAGAGCAGGCAGGATTTTCATTTCCTAACAAAAGCTGTGTGGAAAGCAGTTACAGCCCTCTCCATCCATCCTTTCCAGACCGCGGAGTTCCTTCCAGAAAATTCCGACACAGGAAAGTTACAGGTGTTCGCGTCTGGGAAGGCATGTCGTCTCCAGCTGCCGTGGCGTCACACGCCCGAGTGTGCCCTGTGCCACCTCCTGATGCTCCCACTAGCGCAGCCCCGCCACCCGCGTGTCCCACCCCGACCCCAGTTCCCCCAGCGCACCGCACGCGACAACGCGTCCCCACGACCCCAATGCGTCAACAGGCGTGGGGCGCCCCGCTCGCGGCCGCTCCCACCCGGGCCCCCAGAGCCCACCCCCAGCACTGCGCAGCTTCCGCGCCGCCCCATCCATCCCGGCGCTCGGGGCGCAGCGCGCTCAAGGTCACTCGGAAGGCGGGGGCGCGCGGCGTGAGGGGCGGCCCCCGGGCGGGGGCGGGGAGGGGGAGCGACCCGGGCCCGCGCCGCCCCTCCCCTCCCCCCGCACCGCCCCCGCCCGGGGGGTCCCGTCCCGCGCCCCGCCCGGCCGGTTATGCAACGCTCCTGCGCCCCGCCCCCGCCGCCCCCCGCCCGCCGGCGCCCAGGCCTGCGGAACAAAGCGCGCGGGGCCCGCGGCCGGGCGGGCCGAGCGGCCGCCATGTTGGCGGGGGCGGCGAACAAAGGCGCGCGGCCCGAGCCCGAGGCCCCCCGCCCGCGGCCCGGCCGGCAGGGGGCGCTGTGCAGGCGCCGCCCGCGCCCGGACAATGCACCGCGGCCCGGCCGCCGCTCCCCGGGCGCCGCCGCCGCCGCCGTCCCGCGGCGCGCCCCGCCCGCGCCTCCCTCGCGGCGCCCGCTCTCCACCCCCCGACCCGCGGCACGCGGACCTCACCTGCCGGCCGCCCAGGCTGCCGTCCGCAGCCTGCAGGCCCCGCCGTCCCGCGCCGCACTCCCGCCCCGGCCCGACCGAGCCAGACGGCGCCGCCCCGCCCCCGCTCCGCTCCGCGGCCGCCGCCGCCCGCCCCCGGCCGAACGGCGCACGCGCACTGCGCTCGCCAACTGCGCCGGCCGCGCCGCCCGGCCCGGCCCGACGGGCCGGCACTGCGCAGGCGCTGCAGACGGCGGGCAGGGCCTGGCGGCTGGGCGGGGCCTGGAGGGTCCGGGCGCGGCCTGGAGCCGCGGCCACATCCTAGGCAGCTCACCTGCAGGCGGGGCGGGGCCTGGCGCTGCGGCAGTACACCGCGTGGGAGCCGGGTCGGCGGAGGCGGGACTGCGCCTGGCGCAGCTCCCCGGGAGGCGAGGCGGAGAGGGGGCGGGACGGAGCGCGTCCGGGCCTGGCGGCTGGGTGCAGCCTGGAGGGCGGGGCCTGGGGCTGCTCACCTGGCGGCGGGCAGGGTGGGTGGGGCGAAGCTGGACCAGGCCCGTAGGCTGGGCGAGGAATGGCGTCACGAGCCTGCCGGCCGGACGGATGCAAAGGGACGGCGCCCGAGCAGGGCTGGGAACCGCTCACCTGGAGGCGGGCCCGGCCTGGTGGGCGCTGAGGTCTCGCGCCGCTCACCTGGCGGCGGGCGGACGGGACGGAGCAGGGCGGGAGCGGCGCCGCTGTCTGCAGGCGGCGGCGTGGGCGGCCGGGCGGGACCGGGCGGGGATCTCACCTGGCGGGGCCGCGGGCGGCTGGGCGGGGCCCAGAGGCGGGCGGGGCCGGGCCCCAGGTGAGCGCCGGAAAGGGGCGGTGTTCGGGGCGTCGAGCCCCGGGAGCCTGGGGCGCCAGGGCTCCGCCGGAAGTCAGGCTTCCTGGGAAGTTTCGTTTTCTCTCAAGTGGGAGGACTTTCGCGGACGGACCGGCCCTCCTCATTCTTGGATCTGGGCGGCAGGTCGTCCTGCAGCGCGCGCCCCGCCCGCGTGGATGAGGACCGGTAGTGCGGTCGGGGCGTCCGCGGGCTGAGCCGCGGCTGCGTTGACACGGCCCACACGCCCGGCGGGCGCCGTCCCCAGCGCTGGCCCGCTTCCGGCGCGCGGCCGCCGGACCTCGCCCGCCCACCTGCCCCGCCGGGCGGGGGAGGGGCTCCCTGCGAACCCGGGGGGCCTCGTCCGCCCCCCTGTGACCTTAAGAGCCCGCCCCGCCACACACGAGAGAAGTCGCCCAGTTCTCCGCAACTGGGAGCCGGGCGTTCCCACGGTCGCTCGTGAACTCGTTTGACTAGTTTCGCCCAAGATGCCCTTTGAGTGTGTTGTTTGGTTGTGTGCGGACCCTGAGGAGAGGAAGAAGCGAGAGACAGTTTTGACTCGTGATGAGTTGAGTGCAGAAGCTGAATCCCAGGTCTGAGCCCCAAACCCCGCACCCCGGCCTGGAGTCTGTGAGCACTGCCCTCCGCACTCGGCCCTCTCCCCCACCCCGCCCCCCACTAGCTAGGTGTCGCCGAGCAGGGCACCGAGCAGACTTGGTCCCTCGAGCGCAAATGGGCAGCCACCTTGTAGTAAACCCCTCACGGACTGCTGTCAGGTTGGATGGCAGGACTTGGAGAACGCATTAGGCTGTGATGTGTGGCCCACCGAGCTGCTAGTTAGCAATGCCCTGTGGGATTTTACTAGCACCTTCTCCGTTCCTCCCAAATAAGATTGATATGTGCCTGCTCAAGCAATTAAAGCTCATCTCAGGTGACACACTTGGCAAGCACAGGGAGTTCGCCGGCTAACCAGAGGGCCAGTTTAGACACAGGCACAGAAGCGTGCCGCTGTGCTCACCAGTGAGGACGTGTTGAAGGTTTGTTGTTTTCTCCTGTGTTGGGTGTGCATGGAGCACATCAGGAGCACGGAGGAATGGGAGGGCGGCGGGTGCCCAGGAGTGCGATGGGCCGGCTGGAACGGCACTGGCATCCCCTGGGTGTCTCCACCTTCCCACTACTGACAGCTGAGGCCGAGTGATTCTTTTTTAAGAGGATCGCTTCGCAGCGTCCCTGGCCTCTACCGACAAGATGTCAGGAGCACACACCTTCTCCAACATTTTGACAACCAGAAATGTCTCCAGGCAAAGCCAAATGTGTCAGAAGTCCTGGTTTAAATTTTGCCTGTAGTGATGGTCACTGGAAGCTATCAACAGCGCACAGGCCAGAGAGGCACTTCAAGGTGAGCACCAGTACTGCCAGGAGGATCGCATGCTGCATGTCAGAGATGGGCTTCGACATCACCCATGTAAATCTGCCAAAAATGTCTAAAAAAAAAAAAAGTCCAGAAAAGCTGGGAATCAAGCCAGATGTAGGAGACTGCAACCAAATCTGTCACATGAACCCTCAAATCTACACCACTTTGAGGAAAAGAAGCAACTAAAGAGATTTGGGGGACAGTTTGAGGATTTTACGTGTGGAATATACGTCAGAGAGAATCACTGAAATATCCTTAATGTGTTGGTGTAATGATGTCTGTTCACAAGAATGCCCTGTTCTTAGAAGATCTGTCTTGAATTATTTGAAAAATCAGGAGTCCTGGTGGCTACAGCTTACTTTTAGGTGGTTAAGAAGTAGATGTATTTCACAGATAAAGCAAATGTAACAAAAATGCCAACATTTTGTGAATGAGTGTGTGCATTGTCCAATTCAACTGAGTCTCTGGAAAACTGAAATTTTTTCAAAATAACAGGTTGGAAAAGTAGGTGGAGCCCCAGTTATGTCCCAAACCTCTAGTGTGCTAAGTAAACAGCCACTGCTGTTGTCCAACCATTTTCAGAAACTCAAATACAGAGCTAGTTTCTGCAGTTTCTAAACCACACTTGACTTCTGGAGATTTGGCCACAAGAGCCTACACATATTTGTCCCCTGCAGGAACTTTATTTCTGGCAAAGATAAATTGGCACGTTAACCATTCCAAACCTCTACTAGGCCTGTGTCTCTTAATGCTGAGTCCCTGGGCTCCTCCTTGGGGAGAAGGGAATTTCTTCCCCAGAGATGAACACATCTGTAATGCGAGAGTGGGGCACGCTCAGACTCACAGCAAACCTTGGTGTGTTGGTCTACTTATCCCACTGATGTTGATGTGATCGTTGGAAACCAATCGTCAGAAGCTTTTTCAGAGTGGTTATATTTATCATAAAATAATCCGATTTTTGAACACAGCAAAAAGTATTCTAAGTGCATCATGCACACCACACACAGGGATAATTCTCTGTATTTGTGTAACCTCCAGGTGGATGAGCTTGATGGTCTGCCAGTCACCTTATGGGTAAGGATGCTCTCTCCCCATTGGCTACCTGGGTCACTCCCCCCCCACAATTGACCCAATGGCCTGTTACTCCCAGACAGTGAGGACAGAGGCTGATGAACTGGGAACACTCAGGGTTCTTCCATGTCTGACACATCAGTCCTTAAGATCAGAGCCCTTCCACTCCCACCTATGGCTACAGGTTTATGACTATGCTAACTAGGCAGCACTGTGTGAATCCTGATGAGATGGTGGTCTTGCCAGTACAGAACTGTCTATTCTCCGCTGCTCCTGATAAGGCACTAGGGCCAGGTCTCTGACTGAAAGCCACACTCTGCAGAGCCCTAGAGTTGTCATTCACTGCAGAGGTGAGCAGAGCCTGCATGAACAGTCAGCAGTGGGACCAGAAAGAAGGGACAGGATGTCTGTGTCCACAGGAATATTTACACTCGGTGGAGGGAACCTCGCATGGCTCTAGGGAAATGTTCGCTGAAAGAGTGACCCCAAGAGAAACCGCAGGAGCAGAGGTCAGCTGTCTGGTCAACTGCACAACTTCCTACCTGGTCAGCTCCCGCCTCCCTCCAGATCATTTTCCACACAAAGGCCTTCAAACGTCTCCTCAGAAGCCTCCATGCCCACCAGCCCAAGTAGAACTTTCTCTCTGGTCTCTTTGGAGCATGGATGCCTGTTTGTGATCACGTACCATACTGACTGGCTTACGCGTGTGTTGCCTGTTCTCATTATAAAGTCCAGATGGCAGGGACAAGAACCATTGTCCTCATCAGTGTACCTTATACAGAGCAGGAAGCACCCAACAGCTGTTTATTATGTGAAGGTAGGACTTGTTCTGGGAATACCCGATCATGTGGATTTATTAGGACACAGAGCTTATGAAGGGCTCAAATGCCAGGACGCTGATAAGTTTCAGTTCTCATTACCTACGCTCACAAGGTTATGTCAAGGATCAAAATAAATCCTGTACAGCTGCACACACACACAAGGGAGTTAAGCCATCCAGGAAGAGATGACTGGAGATGTTCAGTCGGCTTTGTGGGGTGGCTGCCGAGTCCGTCTGGGGCGACGGAGAGGAGAATTTAGAGAATCAGGAAATACAGGAGACAATGTGGAAGGCCCCAGTAATAATGCTGGGGGACAGGATTTGGGCTGAACAGAGTGCTTACAGGAAGGATAATATAATGATAACTTCCAAACCACCAGCAAACTGAATACTCAATCGTAGTGGGGAGTTACTGCTTCCTTGGGTGGCATTACTGTCAGGTTAAGAAGAACAAAATCCTCCTCATTTAAAACACATCCTGAAGATCTTGGTTAACTGTTACAAGACTAATACCATTCTGCTGATTTCTCTCAGCAGATTAGTTTTGCCCGTTTTCAAACATTACAAAAACAGAATCAGATGTGCCTGCATACCACCTACTCCTTCAGTAGCATTTGTGCGTCGCCAGTAGTGCTCTGTGCAACCTGAAAGACAGCTGTTATAGGTTATACCCCTGGAAGTGGGGTTGATGAATGAAGTACATGTGTTCATAGATTTCACACTTATACAATGACATCAGAATTGTAGATCTTTTTTTAAAGATGTATATTCATCCACTTTTGAGAGAGCATACATGGCATGCGTATAAGCAGGGGAGGGGCAGAGAGAGAGAGAAGACAGAAAATCTGAAGCAGGCTCTGAGCTGTCAGTGCAGGGCCAGGCTCAGGGCTCAATAGCGAACTGAACTGCCTGAACTGCGGGTGGGGTGAAGCTTCCTGAGCGGAGGTGATTAACAAAAGAAAGGTGCCTTGTTAACCCTGAGGTCACATGTCCTAGTGTCCTATGCATCTTACCCACTAGGCTAACTAAGATAAACAGACATGATGCCTCCTGCCTGCAGTTAACCAACATCTGCCTATCTGCCCAGCACCAGGATTTTGTTTTATATTGACCCAAATACCATATATCTTCAAAACCCCCTTTCCCTCATGCCCATTAGTTAATGTTTACAGATTCATTGTCTCTTTGTGCATGCCCATCACATTTGTAAGCCTTCTGATCTTAATAAATACAGGGCAAGAACACTTATTCAGGGCTCTTGTCTTCTCCCAGACATTAGCCTCTCTCTCATTTTAATCCTGCTTCTGCTCTCTTGCTGGCCAAGAGAGAACTTTAGACCTAGAGTCTACGACACTTCATTTTAGAGAAATGAAAAAAATTTTTGTAATAAAATATTCCTGGGGCAACTGGGCAGCTCAGTTGGTTAAGCATCAACTTGAGCTCAGGTCATGATCCCTGGTTCATCAGTTTGAGCCCCACACTGGGCTCTGTGCTGACAGTATAGAGCCTGCTTTGGATGCTTGGTATTCCTCTATCTCTCTCTCCCCGCCCTTCCCTGACTGGTGTTCGTGTGTGCTCTCTCTCTCTGTCTCTCA